TAGATTTTGGCCCCTTCTCTGATTGAGTTCGACACCCCTAGTCTATATCTATAATAGCCTACTATGCTAAGTGTCCAACTGTTCGATCATTCAACCAGTCACTATGATACACTGAGCACCAGGGGACAGATAGATGATCCGACCAGTAGTTAAGCTTGCTACTGGAGTATGGCCAATCAGGACTGGGCCAGAAGGGCTGGACTACACCCTGGAGCTCTTTTGCTGTCCCTCCCTGGCCCGATCATGCACTGGTGGAGTCCCTCAGCCTGGCCCGCACCCTCTTGCAATCCAGGATCCCTCAATAATATTGTAAAACTGTATGGTACCAGAGGGATACTAGACTTAACAGGATGGTCACTTCCTAAGGTATATCAGTGTCTAGCCACTAGCTGTACATCTGACAATAATATAATATTTTATGCCAATTGTAATTAATAATAAATTTAATTAAAATGACTCGGAGTTCATTGCGGCCGAGTTGGGGGATGGCAAGGACTCATCTGAAGTGCGGGGAATGCCCTGAGACCAGGTGCCTATGGAGCAGAAGGCCCAGGTCTGCTTCCTGCCTTGGCCTGTCTTCCTGTGAGACAGGGGACCATACAGCAGCACAGCTGCAGAGCCTAATGAGAAAGGGCTGGCAACACCTCAGCTATTCCAAGCTAATGAAAACCTATCCCTTTTTTAAGGTTCCCAGGAGAAAGAGCCTGAACCTTCCCAGTTAATGGCTTCTATCTTCGGACCCTCACTGTCAGGAAATTCTTCTCTGTCTGTTACCTATTCTTACTAAGGTTGAACCACATTTTCTTTTGTCTGCTTTCAAAATGCTCCCCCAAATCTGCATTCAGATCATTAAAAAAAGTGAAGGAAGTCATTTTAAAGGAATAACCATATGAAGCCAAGTCTTGTAAAGCTCAATACAAAACATGCAGGCACCCTCTGGTCTGGCTATATTTAACAGCTGCAGGCAGAGGCTGACTAAGAGACACCAGGATGGTGGCCTCTCTCGTTCTGACACAAGCTTTTTTAGTATGTTTCTAGTTGGTTGAAACAATTTTGGATGTCTCCGGGTTGGATGGGAGGGTGATCTGGCTGGACCACCTGCCCCACGTCGATGACAGAGGTTGATTTGTTACCGAATGCTCACATCATCATTCTAGCTGTCTTCAAGAGGAATTCATGCCGAAACCGGTTTGGTTCAGTGGTAGAGCATTGGTCTGCGGACTGAAAGGTCCCAGGTTCGATTTCGGTCACATCCCCGATAGGGGATGTGCAAGAGGCAGCTGGTCGGTGTTTCTCTCTCATCGACGTTTCTAGCTCTCTATCTCTCTCCCTTCCTCTCTGTAAAAAAAAAAAAAAAAAAAAAAAAAAAAAAAAAAAAAAAATCAATAAAAGAGGAATTCAATGATTTTAAAAGTCACATGGTAATGTCCTGGTGTCAAGGGCCTGCCTGTGGATTTAGGGATGAGCCTTTCGAATATGAAATCCTAGTATGTGGCCTCTTAACCTTCCCTTCCCTTCATGTGAGTGATGCAAAATTACTCAGGGCAGTCAGGGATATGGAAGCAGATTTCACTCGGAAATCTTAAAAGGGCTTTAGAAAAAGCATTTCACTGGGGGCGTACGGCCATTTTGCTCTGTGATCCAGAGAAGGGAAATGCTATCATTGCAGTGACCGGGTCTATACCACCACAGAAGACTGTCCCTGTGGTAGACTGCTTAACAGCATCCTCCTGGTGGGAAGCAATTGTTAGCTGCTGACTCTGTTTTTTCCTGCTTCGAAAGGTCTGAGGTGTTGCCTTTGATGTGTCTCTTACCTAATAATTAATGATCGAAAAACTAGACCTCCCACCTCTGTGCTGCTTAGGAATGTTTGTCAGTCACTCTCCCCGGTGTAAACCCCTGCGCTTCTCCACGGGAAATAAACATTTCCTACAAACCCCAAGCCGCACTTTCTGTCTTATAAACCTTGTCAGGCAATCACAGAAATACTGAAAGGTATTGCTTAGTCTAAGGCTTTTTATATTTTGAGATTGTCCAACAATAACAACAAAACCTTTAGCAATAATGGACCTCATCACTGTATAAATTTAAAATATAAAAAAGAAGGGCATGGAGTCATAATGCTTTATGCTGCTAAAAACCCTGAGATGGCTCAAAGAGCTGGAGAATAGGGATTCCCTTTAGAAATGATTCTGTCAAAAGAATGTAATCCTGAATAACACTTTGTAGATGAGAAAGGAAAGTCATATTTATAAGTTGGCTTTTGTCAAATAACTTTCACCTTGTTCCCCAAAGTTTTGCAGAAGCCCACCCTGCAATAATGTAGCAAGGAGTGAGTTTAGAATTGGTCCATATTTATTTGTTTACTTATTTTTACATTTTTATTGATTTCAGAAAGAAAGGGAGAGGGAGCAAGAGATAGAAACATCAATGCTAAGAGAGTATCATTGATCAGTTGCCTCCTGCACTTCTCACACCGGGGATGAGCTTGCAATCAGGGCAAATGCCGCGACCTGGGAATTGAACTGTAATTTCCTGGTTCTTAGGTTGATGCTCAACCACTGAGCCATGTTGACTGGGCTTTATTTATTTGTTTGCTTGTTTGTTTACTTACTCATTTATTTGTTTTGCACTAACCTAAGTAAACCCCCTGCCAAGCAATGGTTCTATGGCAAGAAGTAAGTCCTTTGGGGAAGTAACACCAAGAAACTTTAGGATTCACTCTTTTCTTCTTCTTCTTCTTCTTATTTTTTTTTACTCAAGAAGTATTTATTTACTGACATGTGTGCCAGGCATGGGCTGGGTATGGGGGATACAGTGATAAAAAAACAAAACACATACACACAAAAAAAGAAAAAAACAGACCCAGTCCTTAATTTGTTGATGGCTCTGGAAAATGCTGACAAGTAAACAGACAATGACAGTGAATGTGAAAATGAGTTATGACAGTGCTGTAAGAGGGAAAGGGGGAGTTGAGAGGAGGGGGTACAGCTAAGACCCAGCTATGGAGGGGCAGAGGGTAGGGCCAGGGAAAGCCTTGGGGATAAATGCATTTTCTAAGCTGTGGTTTGGAAGCTTAACAGGAACCAGACAGGAACAGGGACTAGATGGGAAGAGTGTTGTAGGGAGAGGGAATCACAGGAAGTATGTTCTAAAACGGGATGGGAAGATATGAACTCTTGCTTGTTCTAATTCAACATTTTCTTGATAGTTAAGGGCTGAGGATGGCCTTTCTAAAACTGTGGCCATCAGTGATAAAACATCTTTCCTATGACTCAAGCCCACTTCAGATGCCTCCATTCAGTCTTCCCAGGGCAGGCTGGCCTGGAGAAAGTGCCTTCACTGTCCGTGAGGCCTCTCTTCCTGTTTCAGAGGCTGCCTGCTATCTAAACCTAAGTCTTGCTACAAAAAAAGCATCGAGGACAATGCAGACCACTCACCTGTAAAGGGCTCACGCTGATTCTTAACAACTTAAAGCTCCAATCACTGCGTTAGTCCTGATCCTGCTAACTGAAGAGATCCTGCTCCTTTATAGTCCCCTCTGCCCACTCACCCCCAACCCAGATCACAAGCTTGACTCTTCATAAGACTGGAAACCTAATAAAGACATAATCCAAAATGTGGAATAACTCTCTACATATGTGGATAAATTAATCACAGCATTTCCTTGTCATAGTGGAAAAAATTACAAAACAACAACAAGAGATTCTTAAATGTACTCAAAAGGGTGAATGATTAGCTAATAATGGTATATCCTTTTCTAAAACTTATACAGCCATTAACAAAGATAACAATTGATAATAACTTGAAAAATGCTAGTGAAGGACAATGTTAAGTGGAAAAATATATAGAATTATACATACATTATGATCACAACCGTGTAAGGAATATAAGTATGAAGAATATAAGTATAAATATGAGATATGCCAAAATGAGAAGAGTAGTTGAATAAGTGTGCTGTGATTATGAGCTATGTCCTACAATATTTTCTGTTTCCCACATTGTGTTTGTCTTTATAATTTACTTCCTATGAAAAGTATGAACTTTTTAAATTAGCAATTGGAACATTTTGCAATCCACGTGGCATGTACAAGGGAACATGAGAGGAGAGCACGTCTATTTGACCCTCTACAATGGTACAGTGTGGTTCCCCAAGAGAGTGAGCAAAAGGTGTCATGTCAACCGACTGATGAACTGTAGCTTCTTCACAGCAAAATGTCATAGATAAGGAGAAGTGCCCTATAAATTTGATAGACATTTGAGAATGTCAAGCAAATATAGTTACGAAAGTTGGAGTTGAGCAACAGATTTGGAATTAAGTTATTTAAGTCAAGTTTGGAAACTTGACCACTCTTTAGGGCTCTGGGTAAAACAATGTTTTTTTTTTTTTCAAGAGTAAGTTGAGCAGGGTGTTTGATCCTAATTACTTTTTGGACTTCCCAGGCACAGATGTGTTCTTAGCTTGGAGATACACTGATTTCCTCTGTCAGTTTCTACAGATGTTCAACGGAGATGGCAATGTTGATGCACAGGATGGCATCAGGTGATTATTCAGCTCTTAAAGAGAAGACAGAGCTAAGATATTGCTTCCCTTCATCTCCAGGAAAGCTTAACTTGAAATAATGAACTATATTTTAGACAATTGAGCCAGTTTTGGCTACAGCAAGAGTTATTTAGGTTATATTATAATTAACTTCTTTCCAGCATAAAGAATAGCTAATGGCAGTTGTGGAATTTCCTTTTCTAAAGATTTGCAACAATAGGTTAGATATACATCTGACCTTGAATGCCTTAGGCGTGGTGTGCAAAGAAACAGAATGAACAAAAATAGCAATCACACACAAAAATACCAGGGTGTGTCCTAATCTTCTCTCACAGATTTGTACAGATTTAGGCTGAAAAATAGTTTACACCGTTGCCCACCCCTCAGCTGAATCAAAGCCTGAGCCAGCCACATCAGTCACAGAAGAAACTTAGAAAGTGGGCCCAAAGTCATTTACCTGTACTAGGAGTTCCAACTTCCTGTCATCAAGAAGATGTACTTGACATCGACGGCCCTCCGTCATCTGGGAAGAAAGAGAAATGATGGTCACTGCGAGTCTAGCAGCCTGGCAAACAGTGAGAGGGTCCCCTGTGCTGGACTCCACGGGGCACATTCCTCTGGGCAAAACTTCTCCAGGGATTTGGGCTATGTAATGTCAACCATGAGCAGCATCGTTCATTCATTCAAAAATATTTATGAGCACTTTCTATGTGCCAGGCACTATTCTGGGAATAGGGTGTGCAGCAGCTTGCAAGACAAGGTTCCTGCCCTCATGGAGCTTACAATCTTATAGGGAAATTTATAATAAAACTAGTGGCTCAGTGCTTTGTGCACATTAAAAAGGGATTAATTAGAGGGAAATATTTTAATATTGCTATTTGCCCTTTCTCTATAATAGAAGTGTCAGAGATGAAAGAAAGTTAGTAAAATATATATGAAAATCTTCCTCCTGTCAGAGTCTGGAGCGCACCACGGGACCCAGAGTCAAGTCCCTGCCCATCCACATGTGCCTCAAAATCACAGGAGACCCAGACCTGGATACCCCCCTCCCCCCAATTATGCTAGATCCAGTCCCGGCTGGTCCCACCCTTGTCAAGTTTTGCCGGGAGCAGGGCGCAGCCTCCAGTCCCCCATCAAGCCCTATGGGGGTAGGAGGGTCACGACCTAAGGCCCCCTAGCCTGGCACCGGGGTGGGGGTAGCAGTCTGAGGTCCCCTAGCCCAGCACCAGGGTGGGGGGTGCACCTTGAGGTCCCCCATCAAGCCCCACTGAGGTCCCCTGGCCTGGCGCCCGATTGGGGGGAAGCAGCCTGGAGTCCCACAGCCCAGCACCAGGGTGGGGGGTGCACTTTGAGGTCCCCCATCAAGCCCTGCCAGGCAAGGAGCATGGCCTCAGGTCCCGGGGCAGGGGGCGGGGTGCGCCCTGAGGTTCCCCATTAAGCCCTGCCGGGTGGGGGACACAGCCTAACATCCCCTCACCTGGCACCAGGGCATGGGGCATGGCCTGAGGTTCCCTGTCAAGCCCCACAGGGGCAGTGGGGGTGGGGGGTGCAGTCTCAGGTCTCTGCTGATTGCTCAATTTGCATATTCACTCTTTATTATATAGGATAGCAAATACATACATAACACGATATCTGGTGGTAATAAAAGTAGCTCATTCTTTAGTCATTCTTCCATTCAATAACTTTATTAGAGACAGAGATCAGTATCCAGTCTCTGTCACTTCCCACATCAAAACTTGTCCCACTTATGATCACCAGGGAGCAGATGTCCACCCCTCTGGCTGCAGCATTTGATTTGTGTCAATTCTCTCCTCTACTTGTTTATGACCCTAGATCGACAGTGCTTTCACCTGTGAGAGAGGAACCCTAGAGATATGTGCTAAGCTGACCCTAACCCAGGTCCTTTTCACTACTAATAGCTCTGTGCGATGAAACAGAAAGAGGATCTAGACAGGCACCAGGAGACCCAAGTTGAGTCTTGGTCCCACAAGGTACTGGCTGCAGGACTTTGGACAAGCCCCTGTTCCTCTCCGTGCCCCAGTCTCACACATAAAAATGAGTGGGCTGGCCCAGTGGGTGATAGTGAATATTTAACTATCTTTCTGAATTAAAAAAAAGCATTTGTTTGTAGCACTTGCTGGAGCCCTGACATCACCCTCAAAGGAAATCCCATGAAAAACAAGCCTTCCCATAGATGTCAGCTGGCCAGCACTCACCAAAAACTGTCTCATTGTGCTCCAAATGTCTTCACCATGTCTGCCTTCAAGCTACTGTCATGACAACACCAACAGTATTCCCAACAGTTGTAAGACCAGTGGTCGGCAAACTCATTAGTCAACAGAGCCAAATATCAACAGTACAACATTTGAAATTTCTTTTGAGAGCCAAATTTTTTAAACTAAAACTTCTTCTAATGCCACTTCTTCAAAATAGACTCGCTCAGGCTGTGGTATTTTGTGGAAAGCCACACTCAAGGGGTCAAAGAGCTGCATGTGGCTCTTGAGCCACAGTTTGCAGACCACGGCAATAGACATAAGTAACCTCAAGAATGTAGATGATAGTAAAGTATAGTCAACTCAGTAGGAAGTGGTGGGTCTTAGGATTTATTATCTTTGTTTTTAATGTAATTTATTTAATGCAATTTTATATAAGTTTAATAATGGCTGTAATTACAAATGACATGCAAAATTCCTAAAAATGTAACAACTCCTAATGAGCTGGCTCCACAACCACTGCCTGGACCTGAAGCCACATAAGTTCCTCCAGCCTTTGAATTTTTACACTGAGTGGCCAGATTATTATGATCTCTGAATGCATAATAATCTGGCCACTCAGTATTTATATATATTAGAGGCCCAGTGCATGAATTTGTGCATGGGTGGGGTCCAACCAGCCTAGCCACGGGGAGGGGACATGGGCATTTGGCTGGCCTGCCTGCTGGTCAAAGTCCTGGATGAGGGGACAATTTGCATATTAGACTTTTATTATATAGGATATATACTGAGTGGCCAGATTATTATGCGTTCAGAGGTCATTATAATCTGGTCACTCAGTGTATATAACTCTGTAACTCTAACTGAAGCTAACCGTATTTTTTGGACCATAAGACGCACTTTTTTCCCCCCAGAAGTCGGGGGGAAAAAGTCCCTGCGTCTTATGGTCCAAATATAGCCTACACATATACTTAAAAAAAAAAGTTTTTTTACTTGCCCGGCTCTGTGTGGTCTCTGTGTGCTTGCCCGGCCCTGTGTGCTTGCTGCAGCCACTGTCCATTACTCCGTGCCCAGAGTGTCTGCCCCGTTCTGTAAACCCCGAGTGGTAGAGGAGTTCCCATGTATGGTAGTCAGCCTCCATGCCCTCGCTGCAGCCATATCTCCATGTCAGCCCAGGTGCGGTGTACGGTAACTGCGTAATCCAAACTGTAATCATCGCCTGTACCCCTTGCTGGCCCGTACTCCGTGCCCAGAAGAATGCGGCGTCTATTCCCCCAATCATTCCTCTCCGCCCTCTGTTGCCGTGCCTGACTACTGGGTAGGCGTACTGTAGATCTCCACCCACCAGTAAACTCCGCCCTCCGCTGGATGCCCTGATTGATAACATCGCTAAGTCAGAATTTCTCTTCATACTATTATACCGGTAACTGTCAAAATGTTTGTACTGCAACAAACTTCATACCGGTATATTGTATGCAGAGACTTTCTGTGATACCAAACCAATAACATTTACCATAATGTAAAACACTCTCCAGCCTCTTCTCTCACCACTACAATGTGTAGATACCCATAAACTATGCAAAGAAAGCATAGAAAGTCTCTGCATGATTTATGGGTTTACACATTGTAGTGATAACACTGAACTTTTTGTTTCAGAATCTTTTTTTCTTCATTTCCCTTCTCTAAAAACTGGTGCGTCTTATGGTCCGGTGCGTCTTATGGTCCGAAAAATACGGTACCTTCTTTTGCCCCAGCTACAAGCAGATTAAAGGGAAGGATGCACATGACAGATCCTGGTGTCACTTAATTGTACGGCAATGGGGGTCAGTCCCTTCTCCAAGTATTTTCTTCATGAAACATAGTAATGACAGCTTCTTCTCTTCTTGTTAATAGGGTTTATTCTCTAACTATCAGCATGTTAAAAGCTGGCACGCACTCCCATAAGAAAATTCTCTGAGTGCTTCCTCAAAATAAGCTAACCCATCATCCCATGGAGTCCCCAGCTCTAAGACAAGTCATCAAGAAAAGTTTCGCATGCTCATAAACACTCTAACAGAGGTTGAAATAGAGTGAAAATTTGAGAAAAAAATCTTCAGTCCAAGGCTTGCTATTTTGCATATCTAAGCCAAAACAGGCAGTTGTGTATTTGAGATGGGTCTATGCTAAGTCTTTATTCACTCTCTGACCTTAACTTCAGGTGTTAATTGTCTTAGCCACAACCTTACAAACAGCAGTCATCCTAGCCAAATGACTTAATTTAAAAGTTCATCAGCTTCAAAAAATAAACAAGTGAGACTACATCAAACTAAAAAACTTCTGCACAACAAAGAAATCCATTAACAAAATAAAAAGGAAACCCACCAAATTTGAGAAAATATTTGCAAATAATATACCTAAAAGGGGGTTAATATCTAAAATACAGAAAAATAATCATATAATTCAATAGCAAATTAAAAAATCCGATTAAAAATAGGGAAGGCCTGACTAGTGTGCCTCAGTGGTTGAGCATTGACCTATGAACTAGGAGGTCACAGTTCAATTACCAGTCAGGGCACATGCCTGGATTACTGGCTTGATCCCCAGTAGGGGGCATATAGGAGGCATCATCATTGATGTTTCTCTTTCCCTCTCCTTCCCTCTCTGAAATCAATAAAATATGTTTATAATAATAATAATAATAATAATAATAATAATAATAATTAGGCAGAGAATCTGAATAGACATTTTTCCAATGAAAATATGGATGTATACAGATGGCACACAGATACATGAAAAGGTGCCCAAAATCACTAACCATCAGGGAAATACAAATGAAAATCACAATGAGCTATCACCTCATTGTACTGTAAAAGGTTAAGGATTTAAACATGTTCTTGTGTTCCTTATTCACATTCTAATATATTTCACAAAAACAAAGAAAGACATTATTGTATCAAATAAAGTTTTTGTTGTTGTGTTATCCTTACCCAAAGATATGTTTAATGATTTTAGAGAAAGGAAGAGAGAGAGAGAGATAGACAGACAGACAGACACATGGATCGACTGCCTCCAGTAAGCGCCCTGACTGAGAATTGAACCCACAACCTAGGTGTGTACCCTGACCAGGAATCTAACTGTGGAGACAGTTAGACAGACATGAGCAGAGCAAGAATGATGGGCCAGTAACAGAAGATCACCAGAGTGGAAAGCTCTGCATACTTAGCAAAGGACAACTGTAGGATGGGACCTTGCCCCCAGGGTGACTTTTCTTGCCCTAGCATATCACTGGTAATGTGGTATGGACCCCCTGACCTTTCCTCCCTAGAGATAA